TTCTTGGGTGTGCTGCTGGTGTGTACATATATTATCTAAGGCATTGCCAGCCCACAGGGCAGTTCTGTCTTTGGCTTTAGATCATGTTGCTAATTTCCCTGCAGATGGCACAGCTCATTCTTCCACTTAGCCTGTCCAGCAGGCATTGAATTGTGAGCTTAATTTGCATGTCCCTGCTTACTGCTAAGGTTGAGCACTTTTTCATAAGTTAATTGGCCATTTGTTTTTCTTCCCGTTTTTTTTTTTTTTTTCTTTTTTTGAGACAGAGTCTTGCTTTGTTGCCCAGGCTAGAGTGAGTGCCTTGGCATCCTCAAACTCCTGAGCTCAAGCAATCCTTCTGCCTCAGCCTCCCAAGTAGCTATGACTACAGGCATGCACCACCATGCCCGGTTAAGGGTGTCTTGATAAAGTTCTCAATTTTGTTTTACTATTTTTATTTTTTTAGAGATCAGGGTCTCACTCTGTTGTCCAGACAGGAGTGAACTCCTGGGCTAAAGCAATCCACTCACCTCAGCCTCTTGAGTAGCTGGGACTACAGATGTGCACTACTATGCTTGGCTAAGTTTTAAATTTTTTGTAGAGACAGGGTTTTGCTATGCTGCCCAGGCTGGTCTCAAACTCCCAGCATCAAGTAATCCTTTCACCGCAGTCCCCCAAAGTGATAGGATTAAAGGCATAAGCCACTATGCCTGGCCTTGATTTTAAAGTAACGGAATGCAACACCTAAGTTGACATATAGGAAAAACATTTATTGGGTGTCGGGCAGGTAGGCGGATCGCTCGAGGTCAGGAGTTCGAAACCAGCCTGAGCAAGAGTAAGACACGGTGTCCACTAAAAATAGAAAGAAATTAATTGGCCAACTAAAAATATATAGAAAAAATTAGCCGGGCATGGTGGTGCATGCCTGTAGTCCCAGGTACTCAGGAGACTGAGCCAGGAGGATCACCTGAGCCCAGGAGTTTGAGGTTGCTGTGAGCTAGGCGCCATGGCACTCTAGGCCGGGCAATAGATTGAAACTCTGTCTCAAAAAAAAAAAAAAAAGCTCCTCAAACTACTATCAACCAGTAGCAGTCACATGGCATCGCAAAGAGCAATGCATAAAGTGAGCTTCCAGCCCACTAGTACATACAGGACCACGTGGATGCCAACTGGCACATAAACATTAGGGACCTCAATTAAAGAGATGAGCACAAGTTTTATTTTGCTTCCTGGAGAGTAGTTTCTGTTAAGCCAACTCACCTGGGCTTTCCTTTGTCTACTCCTGACCCTAGCACTCTACCACTGACCTCATCAGTTTATCCTACTTAACCCCTAACTAACAGCCTTGATTTATACAACTCCGATAAAGGCCTACGGGTTGTAGTCTTTCCTGCCCTCTCAAGTATTTCTTCTCCACACTGGACCTTTACAGCTCCAGGTGAAATGGTCTCTTGGCCAAATTTGAAACCCCAACAGTGCTAGCATAGAACATAACCCATACTAAGCATCTGCAAATGTGTGTCAAATGAACACTTGATTCAGTCATGTTTGCATGACTTTACATAAAACAGATGGAATCCTGGGTTTTTTCAGGCATGAGTCACTCAGTCAATGAGTGGCTATCACTGACTTCCAGGTTTGGCCCACTGTTTGTGTTTTAGGTTTTAGAGGTTTTGTGGTTTCAATTTTTTTTTTAAGAAACAAAATATCACTTCTTCACTACAAGGCATTGTTGCCCTTATTTATTTATTCTTTGAAACAGAGTCTCACTCTGTTGCCTGAGCTAGAGTGCCTTGACATTAGCCTAGCTCAGAGCAACCTCAAACTCTTGCGTTCAGGTGATCCTCCTGCTTCCGCCTTCCGAGCACCTGGGACTAAAGGCATGCACCACCGCACATGAGTAATTTATAAATTTTTATAGAGACTGGGTCTCACTACGTTACTCAGGCTGGTCTCAAACTCATAGCCTCAAGTGACCTCCTGTCCCAACCTCCCAAAGTGCTGGGATTATAGGCATAAACCACCATGCTCAGCCTTGTTGCCCATATTTAGATATAAGAATCTGGACATGCACTTTTCTCAACTCAAGTTGCACTTTTCTGCAGATGGTTTATGTGAGCTTTCCTCTGTCAGGGACGGGGAAAACATATTTCTAGCTGCTTCACCAAGCATGTTAATTGTCACAAGGGAAAAAGGAAGTATTGGGCTTAATAGAGAACAAAGAAGGTGCTGGTACTGCTGGTTTGAGTGGTAAGATGGGGTGGCTGAAGCCCAGAGTCCTACCTCAGGAGCAACCAGGATCGCTGCCAGACATTTGACTCACTTTACAAAGGAGGAATGACCGTAAGCAAAAATTTCTGTAAAAATACTGCAAACCACTTGTGATTAAGAGTTTACTCTCGGCAAGTAATAGTTTCCATAGAGAAAGGAAAATTCTATCAAGGGTTAACAAACAGGCCATCAGGAAAAGCTTAGGAATGACCCAAACGCTTCCACCTCTAACATGTTCAGAGCCTCCCTGTGAGGCCAGATCAAAGAAGCTACTAGAAGTAATGTCAAGAGAAGGCCAAGGTAGCCACACACTGCTGGTAGAGGTGGGGGTTGAAGGGGAGAAGGAGAGGGGGGAGGAGGGAGAGGAGAGAGGGGAGAGGGAGATGGGAGGAGGGGGGAGAGGGGAAAGGGGGAGAGGAGAAGGGGGGAGGAGGAGACAGATATGGACAGGCCAATTCTGCTAATCTCTGCCCCATTTGCTGAGGCTCTTCAAACATTTTTCAATGCATGACCTACTGGTTATCTAAGTGGATAGAAGGGTATTCATTCCTTTAATATAAATTGAGTACCTATTAAGTATTAGGCAATCACTAAGCAAGCCCTGGAAATTCCAATATGAGTAAAAAGGCACTTCCTCAAAGATCTCCAGCTGGGTGCAGTAGTGCTGCCTTATAGACCCAGCTACTTGGGAGACTGCTTGAAACCAGGAGTTTGAGGGTATAGTACACAATGATCCTACTTGTGAATAGCTGCTACACTCCAACCTGGACAACATACCAAGACCCCATCTCTTTAAAAAAAAAAAAAGAAAAGGATCTCATTGTGTGGTCAGGGAGACAGATGGGAAAACAATTATAATATAACATGTGAGGAGTTAGAATGGAGAAGATACCAAGGTACCAAAACCCAGGCCTATTTTCCCTTGGGTTCAGTAGGAGCTGACCTTTGATTTGAGACTCAAGGAGTTAATGAGAATAAACAGGGCAAGGAGGAGGACATTCAGGACAGTAGGGGTTGTATGTGGGGAGCCCAGAGGTCTGATGAGTTGGGGGAGAGCCAGCAGTTGTGAGTTCTGCCAAGGCTAGAACTCAAAGGCTCATGGGAGCTATACAGAAATCAGGCCACCAAAGGAGACAGAGCCAGGTGGGGAAAGGCCATTGGAAGATCCTGAGCGCTCTCCTGTGGCTGATGGGCAACCACTGAGGAGATCTGGTCAGCCTAACCTCGTCTTGTCCAGCTGTCCCCTTCCTGTTCCAAACACTAGAGATAAATATAGTAATGTCTGTCACCTGGAAAGCAGCCCTGGATCAATCATGTGGAATGGTGCTGAACCCCGTGTTGTTTCTAAAGTGTTTCTGGAACTCTTTCTGCAAAAGCAGAAAGAACTGGGGGTGGGACAGGAGTCCCCAGAGAGCCTGCTGTATCAGATCCTGAATTCAGGAAAACTGTTATTGAACTGTCACAGCACACAAAAATTGCAACGGACCACGGAGAGCTCAATGCCTCTTTTAATATGGAACATGTGACCAAAGAGGAGAAATGGCTACAAAGTATCTCAGAACAGAACCCAGCTCTCCTGCCTTCAGACTAGTGCTTCTGCAGTCTGGCGGCTACTCAGCCTTCTGCTAACAGTACCATAATCTTCCTCTGAACAACCAACCCCTTCACCTGGCTGAGCTCTACAACCCACATCTCCAGACTAAGTACACAAATGCCAAGCCCTCAGGCGCAAGCTAAGGTCAAAATTAGACACAGGGCTCCACAAAGGCATCCAGGGATAGCAGGAGGCTTCTGCTTTTCCTTCCACTGGAGTTGGCCTGCACAGGGCTTCCCCTGCAGGGACGATCAGGAAAAAAGCCCAGGGAGAGGGGGAAACCAGATCCAGGTGATATTGTTCTTCTAGACTCTGTGTCAGGTTGTGCCTGACCTTTTATCAGACATCCCTCCTTTGATTTCTTTCTCCATCCTAACCTTGCTACTTCTCTCCCCAGCCAGACACAGTGGGTTCAAATCTCCACTTCACTGCTTACTGTATAAATCACTCATCTTCTGAGCCTGTGTCTGCATCCATAAACTGGGAATACCATACCACCTGTTTGGGTATCTGGAAGGCTGAAGTGAGAAGTTCTGTGTAAAACACAACAGTGCCTGGCACCCAGGGAGCACTCACATATCACTGTTAACATTATGCCAGCTTGAATTAGGTTTTCTGTCACTGGCAACACAAGAACTTTGAGCGATACAGTGCCCTGTTACTGACACATCATGCTACAGTCACAAAATCACATATGGTCCCAGATTCCTCCCAAGAAGAGTAAAGCTCTAAGTCTGTGTATTTAAGGGCTACATTTCGGATCTATGGAGATTCCCGAGACACCTGTTTCGTGTCTCCTTTCCACGCTCCAGGCTGAGAGCCCACACATTGGCGCTGCTCGGGTTACCGCAACGCCACGCGCCCGCTCGCCCGCCGGCCCGCCCCCTCTCCTCGCCTGCGGGCCCGCGTCCACACCGCCTGCTCCGCTCCGGTGGGCCGGGCTTGCGGCCGGCGGGCGGTCTGCTGGCTTCGCCCAGGGGAACCGGGCGACTAGCTCCACAACTCCTCACCCACCTGGCGCGACCCCGGATGTGGGCGTGCGCGCCACCCAGCCGCGACCCCGAAGTCGCGCCGACGCGCGCGCCTCAGCCAATCGCACGCCCCAGGCCACTGCGTCACGGCCAGATCAGCCAATGGGAGTTGGCCTGACTGCCGCTTCCGGCCCGCCCTCTCGCCCAGGGCCGGGGGAGGGCCGGCCTGGTAGCCCGGCCGCCAAGGAGCGAGCACCGCGACTCCGCCCCGCCGGGCGCCGGCCCAGGTGAGTGCTGCGCGGCGCCCCCTCCGCCGCGGCGGGCAGGGCCGTGGGAAAGGTTGCGGCGGCGGAGGGCAGCTGCGCCTCTCCCCCGTAATCCCCACTGCGTTCACCTGGAGACTCGCTGGGAGGGACCGTACTCGTCTTCTTGCCTGCGCACCTGGAGGGCGCCGCCCCCTCCCCGCCCGGGTACGCCCACAGGCCAGCTTAGTGGCCGGGTTCAGGGGATACCCCCACTGCAGCCTTTGGGTTCAAGTGATTTGACGATCACAGGAGCTTGGTTGTTTTAGAGAATCGAGCTGCAAGGGGCCTGCTTAGCTGTTGGTAGAAGCAAATCTTCTTGTCTTGGGATTAGTGTGGGCAGATGGTCAGGGCCCAGTGCTCCGGCTCCGACATATGCTACTTGTGGCAGTGCAGGGGGCCCACCTGTCACCCAAGTGCACAGAACTGGGACGAAAGCCAGGCTGACTCAGTGCACCCACTGGGCAGACCCTATTTTTCCAGAAGGACTCAACTACCATGCAAATTCTACTGTTTCACCCACTTCTTTGAACCCTGATGCTTTTGAACAGACCCTGCATTTGGAAGCCAGCAAGCTACCTTAGTAGGCAGTGCTCTCACTGTTTGCACACCGGGTGGGTGTGACAGTGTGATAAGAAACCTTTAGGAAGAACTCCTAATGCCCAACTCAGAGGAAGCAAATGCCTGGGAGCTTCCTCGGTACTGTGTCTCTGCTACCACGTCTGTGCCCCCATTCCCTTGGGCACTTTTTGGTCTCTGAAAGGATCTGTGAATAAACTGGTGCAGAAAGGTAGGTGGCTTTGAGGGTGGTGAGCAGGCTTTCTTAGCAGAATGACTGAAGGGTCAACTCAAATTCACTTTGTAGATATTCTTGGTAAATTAGATGTTGTTTATTTGTAAGATGTGCCCCCCATCCTTTCACCCCTATAAAACAAAGAAGTCTGAGGATGCCAGAATCATGGGATTTTGTGTTCCAAACCCCCTTTCAAGAAGAGCCCTCTGACCCAGTGAGCCTGGACAGGTTGCCTGATCAGTTCACAGCCAGGAAGTGTCACCTGAGGATGTGGGGGCAGCATCCTGGCAGAGGCAGAAAGGTGTGTGTGACCAAGGATGTTTACCTTGTGTCACCTTTAGCTGGGAAGTGACTGGTGCCCGGGTCTCCACTCTGAAGGGAGTTTGTAAACACAACCCCCATGCCATCCTTTCTTTGCAGCAAAGTCTTCTTCCATTAACTGCCCAGAAGGTTCAATTATGTCTCTAGGGAAATTACTGCTTAGTCATTTCCCTGAAGGAAAGTGTATTAAATACAAGTCAAAGTCTCCACTCATTGAGCTCAACCTGCAGACTGAGCCTAACTAAACTGGCTACTTATACAGTGAATTGTGAGCTATCTTTGAAGACTAACTTATATTAAAATGACACCACAGAAACCTACATTTAAAAAAAAATCTTACTTTTCCCCCAATATTTTTATTGAAGATTTTCAAGCATGCAGCCGGGTTGAAAGAATTGTGTGGTGAACATCCCCATATCCACCACCTAGCTTCTGCTATTGATATTTTACTATACTTACTTTATCATGTATCTATCCACAAATTATGACCTTACTTTGAAAGTAGTTTATAACATTTTGTTTCCCTGAGGCAATATTTCTGTCTTTGGGAGTTGGGAGTATGTTGAAGTTATGTGGTGGTAATTATCCTTAAATGTTGCTTCAACACCTTACTGTGTGCAGAGCGCGGTTGTGAGGAAAGGCTAACCAGAAAGAGACTTGAGTTTGGGAGATTTCTTCAGAGATGGAAGATACATGGCAGTTTGTGGCAGCAAATGTCAAGTAAAAAGTAAATAATGCCAAGTGACATCAATAACATTTATTGAGTTCTTGCTGGCTACTGCACACTGTTTATTAAAAGCTCTGTGCCTGTATTATCTCATTTAATTCCCACAACAACTAGGTAAGTATGTCACTATTCCTTTCTGCCTTTTATAGAGTAGGAAATCAAGGCACAGAGAGGTTAGTTTTGGTGGCACCAGAAAGTGGTGGAGCTAGGACCTGAATACTGGCAGTCTGGGTCCAAGCAGCTTGGGCACTCGTAGTCACTGTGAAGATGCCAGAGGGACCCCGACCAGGGAGGAATAAAGGGGTAGCTGGAAGTTACCAGGAGTCCCAATCAGGCATCTGGATGCAGATGCTAGTTGTCAAACGGCTCCGGAAGACTGGTCTGTTTTTCTTGTTTGTTTGATGGGCGCTGGTGCTCCTGAGGTTAAGGAGGTTACCTATTCTGCCAGGGTCTGTTTCCCCTGGCTTGCTCCTTTCTGCTGGTCAGTTTCCCTCCTATTGTTTTTTTTTTTTTTTTTTTTAGTAACCAGAGAGTCAACTTCCTATTGTTTCTCTCTGCTTCCTGTTGTAGGTGTTTCCCAGAGCTCGGCTTCTGCTCTCTTTCCCTGTCTTCCTGTTCCTTATCTTCCGATCGCTTCCTTCTCAACCTGCACTCTGGCTTCTTGGTGTTTGTAAGATACACTTTGTTCCCAAAGAGCCAATTCTCCTATCTTCAGCTGCGTTCAGTCTCCTGTTGCCTTCTGAAGCGCCCACATGCCTCTGGCCCCAGCCTCCAGGCACCTAAATAAACTGTCTCCTAGTAGTAGCTCCGGTTTTGAAACCAGACTGGCCACACCTTCATCCTAGGTTCTTTCCTCTTTTCTGGCCCCAGGGCAGTGTTCCAGGGTTGGATCTGGGAGCCTCCCAGTCAGGCAGAGCTTGTCATTGTGATTGCCTTGTTGTCCTCCTCTGGCCTTTCTGTGTTTGTCTGCCTTGTGTCTGGCCATGTGGCCCTGCCCTGGTAGGGAGGGTTAGGTTTGTTCCAGGTAGCAACCCAAAAAGTATGTATAGGACAGAATGTGGTTAATGCAAAATTTAGGCTTGTAAAACAATAGCCTCAGGAGTCTGGAGTCCCCAGATGTTGTAAATCTAACAGACAACTACAGCCAGCATTCCTCCCCTCCTCTCCCCCATAGGAATGAAATCTGTCCTTCCCTAGCTCCCCTGATAAGGACAACTCTGGAGCTGAAAGATGGATGTGACTGGGCCAGGGGTCCTAGGAGCTGGTTGTTTGAAAAAGAATTTATCACAAGCAGCTGTTCTGGCCCACTTATTCCTCCCACAGAAACCCTCTATAAAACCCAAGGCTCTCCCCTTTTCTCTTGTGGACACTTTTTTTGGCTTCCACCCATCTGCACCCAGATGCTCCAAATAAACAGCATTTTGCTACATATGAGGCTTCGTGTGTCTGTCTCTCGGCTCGGGACCTAACAGGGAGCTTGTTCCTACCAGAAGCCAGAGCTCCAGAAATGACACCCCAGGGAGCCCTAGCAGTGTCGGGCCTGAGGGTGGGGGGTGGTCAGTGGCAGAGCTTAGCAGCAGCCTGGGCCACCCCCTACAAAGCACAAAGAAAGAAGAGAGAAAAGGAAAGGAGTAAGGAGTGGAGAATGGCAAGAGTGAGATAGGGGAAAGGAGGCAGTCACTCAGGGAGGATCAAGAGAGCACCCTTACATCCTTGAATCCACGTGGTCACGTGGCTCGTGGCTCCTGCAGGCCCGTGAAAGGCTCTGGCTGGGATGCCAGGCCCATGTGGATGCTGTCAACAGGGAGAGGCCAGCGTAGGGGGAGAGACCTGCCCTCCCTAGGGCGGCAGCAGGACAGTTGTGTGTTTTGAGACTCAACCAAATCTGTAAGCTTTAATTTATTCTTTTGAAAGGAAAGATCTGAAGGAAATATAACAGAATAATAATATTCATTAAATTTGGGGAGAATAATAATATTCATTAAATTTGGGGTACTTAGATGTTACTTTTTTCCCCTGTACTTTTCTGTATGTTTTTAAAAATACCCATAATTAGAGGGAAGGCAGGTCGGGTGCAGTGGCTCATGCCTGTAATCCTAGTACTCTATGAGGATCACTTCAGGAGTTTGAGGTCAGCCTGAGCAAGAGTAAGACCCCATCTCTACCAAAAATAGAAAAATTAGCCGGGTGCGGTGGCATGTGCCTATAGTCTCAGCTACTTGGGAGGCTGAGGCAGGAGGATTGCTTGAGCCTAGGAGTTTGAGGTTGTAGTGAGCTATGATGACACCACTGCATTCTAGGTAACAGAGTGAGACTGTTTCAAAAACAAAAACAAAAAATAGAGGGAAGAAAAGGTAAAGAAAGAAAAAGGAATCTACACTGGAAACCAGGGTCTGCTTCTAATTTGTGGGGTGACCACTCACCCCCCTCCTTGGACCTCATTTTGCCATCCATGGCATAAGACACTCAACACCCACCTGGCCCTGATGTCCCCTGGGCTGGGAGCCAGGACACTGACTCTCACCTTCCTGCCACCAGTGTTCCTCCAGCCACCGCCGCCATGCCCAACTCGGTGCTGTGGGCGGTGGACCTGTTTGGGAGAGTGTACACGCTCTCCACGGCCAGCCAGTACTGGGAGCTGTGCAAGGACGGCCAGCTGGAGTTCAAGCGGGTCAGTGCAGCCACGCAATGCTGCTGGGGCATCGCCTGCGACAACCAGGTCTACGTGTATGTGTGCGCCAGCGATGTCGCCATCCGCCGCCGAGAGGAGGCCTATGAGAATCAGGTAGCCTCGGGCATTTGGAGTTGCTGGGTTGGTGGATTTGCTGGGTTATTGATTAACGTGATGAACCGCAGAAGAAAAACAGAGGCCGCAGGCCAATTGCCACATGCATCTCCTTCCTTGTACTTAATTCTGAGTTGTGTAGTGTCCAGGGTCTGTGGGGCTGGAGTGGGCTCCTGTCTGGGAGCCTAGGATGAGGTCGCCCTCCCCTGCCTGCCCCCTGGGAGCACTGTGGCTGGCGGGTGGGTCCTCTGCCCGTTGGAGCTGTGCCGTTGTGCTCGCCATGATGAAGAAGCACGGGGTCCCTGATCCCCGGGCCCTGGGCGCCCTCTGCTCACCTCCCATTCTGGAGACCAGCAAGAGGGACCTGCTGGGCAGGGTCTGCTGGCCCCGGAGAGGCTCTGCCTGCCTGGGACCCTCCCGGAAGGCTTGGGTCCAAGGCCGTCTCTGTGTCCCCGGCCCTCAGCGCTGGAACCCCATGGGCGGCTTCTGTGAGAAGCTCCTGCTGAGCGACCGGTGGTCATGGAGTGATGTGAGTGGGCTCCAGCACCGGCCGCTGGATGGGGTGGCGCTGCCCTCACCGCACTGGGAGTGGGAGTCCGACTGGTACGTGGATGAGAACTTTGGAGGGGAGCCCACCGAGAAAGGGGTAGGTGAACTCAGTACCCACCGTGGCTGCCCTGGGTTGGGGGTGCCTTGGGCTCACCTGGCCCCCTGTGCGGCTGTCCCTAACACCTCATGGTGTCTGACCTCTGCTTGCTGTGATGGGATGGGGATTGGGATTTTCAGGCTGGCTCACTCCCTCCTCTTCTCCTTCCTCCCAACCTTCCCTAGCTCTTCCAATTCCTTCCCCCTGGAGCCTCACAGAGCCCCTACCTTGGTGTTTCAGGGGTGGACATATGCCATCGACTTTCCTGCCACCTACACACGAGACAAGAAGTGGAATTCTTGCGTGCGGCGGCGGAAGTGGATCCGGTACAGGAGATACAAGTCCCGGGACACCTGGGCCAAGGTCTCAGTACCTGAGTGTGGCTTAGGGGCAGGACAGGACCAAGACAGATGGGGGACTGGGACCAGCAGGGCCTGGTAGGAAGATCACATGGAGACTGGTCCCCACCCCTCCTGCCCACCCTAGGACCTGGCCTCTGAGCTGTTTCCTATCCCCAAAATACCACAGCGCTGTGTGTCCCTTCATTTGGGAGATGGCCACACAGGGAGCCCAGCCAGTCTGTGGCCCAGGATGGCAGAGAACTTGTTCTGACTGAGGTCTCCAAGCTGCTCTGTCCCAGACTTAGCCTCCCTCTGGTGCTTTGTCCTCCCCTCCCCCACCAAGGGGGCACCTCTGGCTCTAGTGTTCTCATGACCCAGGAGAACCTCCCCACTTAGGAAAGGCCTGGGCCAAGTGCGAGCAGGCTGCAGGCACTGACCAGACCTCGCTGGACAGCCCATGGCTGTGAGGTGGGGCCCCCAGCCCAGCCTGGCTGTCCCGGGACTGGGATAGCAGGGTGCCAGCCAGCAGCAGGGCCATGTTCTGCCATCAGCCCCGTTCTTTGGCGGGGAACAGAGTCACAGTGGTCAGGTCACGGGGAAGCCCAAAGCTGAGATCTTATGGTGCATCTACCTTCCACGCAGGACCAGCAGTGACCACCAGGGGACAGTGGCCCAGGCCTAGGGGTGGATAGAACAGGGCAGAGGGGACCCAGGGCCAAGAACCTGCAGTCCTGGTGCTGTTGTCCCTGTGAAGTCAGGCAGCTGGGGGCAAAGCTGGGGTTGGGAGGCCAGAGGGGAGACGGGCAGGGAGGGGTCCTGCCCAGTCACTGACTGCCACTGCCTCCTGCCCCCTTGTTTCAGATCCCCTCGAAGGATGACCCCAAGCAGCTGCCTGACCCCTTCAATGACCTCTCTGTGGGGGGATGGGAGATCACGGAGGAACCCTCGGGCCGCCTGTCAGTGTGGGCCGTGTCTGTGCAGGGAAGGGTAAGGCCAGACCCTGTGCCCAGGATGAGAGGTGGCCGTGGGAGCCGGCCACAGGCAGTGGGGGTTGGGAGGAAGAGAGAAGCTGCCCCAGGTGTCCTTCCAGGGGTGGAGGAAAGATGACAGCTGCCTTTGAGACGTTCTCCTTGCCTCTGTGGCAGGAGGCAGGTGACGGGACTGCCACACCCCTCTCCTGGGAGTCTGCTCTGTGGACCCTGAGTCTTGCACGTCCCAGAAGCCCCTGTCCCCTACCCATACCTGGTCCTCACCTGTCCCTCCTCTGAGCCCCCAGCATACTGGTCAGGGCCCACCGTGGGCTCAGGCGCCATTAATATTATCGCCCCCACCTCAGACAGCTGCTGGGCACCCTGCCGGCTCCTGCGGTATCTCCTACACTGTCTCTAGGAGTGTGGCAGGTGGCTGGATGGTGGGTCTGTGGATGTCTAGAGAGGAGACCCTTCTCTCAGGGAGTGTGTGAAATAAGCACAGGAATACAGCCAACCCCGGCAGCAGCAGATGGCCCTGAGCACAGGTGACCCGGCACTCCAGTCATGGTTTTAAATTGCGCTTTGTGATTATTCTGTCACTCTTACCACAAGTCGATCACAATTCTCCAGTCGGCTTTGGAACAGTTGCAGCAGGGTTTTTTAGCAGGCTCACCTGTGGGTCACATGTGGCCCAGGCTTAGGTTAACCACAGTGGCTTCCTCCAAGCTGTACTGAAGGGTGGGGGGACGGGGCTGGGCAGAGTAGGGAACTGGCCCGGGATGGAGCCCCATCGAGGGGCCATGCCCACCTGGACCCGAAGAGAGGGAAGAACAGGGGCCATGGAACAGTGTCTGTGTCCCCGAGTGCCAGCTGTGCGCCACACTGCCCTGTGCCACCTTGTGGTCCCCCAGAGGTGGGACCAGGACTGTGGGCTCCTGTGGGAGCCAGGGAGACACACGGGCCCTGATGCCACCTGGCAGCAGACGATGGCTTCCCAGGCCTGGTCCTGCGGGGCCAGTTGTGGGGGCCAGTGGCAGGATTGGAGGCCAGGGCTCCCCAGTGTGAGGACAGCTCTCTGGAGGGGGTCACCAGCCCTTCCTGGACCCCAAGCAATGTGCAGCCTCCTCCAGATAAAATGAGCCAGACAGTTTGAATGAGATGAGCGAGTTGCTCAGTCTTAACTACTCAGTTAAGGAGAAAAAGAACTAGACATTTTAGTCATTTGTACGAGTGGGGTTTGGGGGTTTTGCCATTTAGCCACCCCAGCCAGCCTCCCCTAGAGACGGGTGTCCTGAGAGCACATCACCATGAGGGGGCGCAGGGCACACGGGCTGGCCCAGAGCAGCCAGGGGACCTGCTCCGGTGGCGTCAGGTTCTCACGCAGATGAAAGGAACAAGTCTGTCCTCTGATCCTGAGGTCCACGGTGTTTGCATTTCTTTGCCAGAGTGGGAGTGGGGATCAGGAACGAGACCTGGCCAGTCCGGGTACTCTGGCCCCCAGCCCCAGTGTGGACGTGTGACGCAAGTGCCATGCCCTCTTCTGGCCTCACAGGTGTGGTACAGAGAGGACGTCAGCCACTCCAACCCCGAAGGCTCATCCTGGTCCCTGGTGGACACTCCTGGCGAGGTGGTCCAGATCAGCTGTGGGCCCCACGACCTCCTGTGGGCCACCCTGTGGGAGGGGCAGGCCCTGGTCCGGGAAGGAATCGGCAGGAACAGCCCCACAGGTGGGCAGCCCAGGACGGGCCCTCGCCCCACACCAGGGGAAGGGGGTGCTCGCTGCCCCCAGTCTGGGCTGATGGAGGCCGCCTGGGGTTCTCTGGGCTGCTAGGAAGCTGCTGGTCCATAGTGGAGCCTCCAGGGCCTGAAAACGGGATCATGCACGTCTCCGTGGGAGTCGGCGTGGTCTGGGCTGTCACCAAGGACCGGAAGGTACGACAGGGACGCTGGGGCTGGATCTGTTGAAGGCTGTGTTTTTTTGTTCCTGTGAGTGTGATCTGAACCCTTCTCGACAAATCTGGCCTCAGCCAAGCACAATGTGTTTTTTTTTTTTTTTTTTTTTGAGACAGAGTCTCACTTTTGTTGTCCAGGCTAGAGTGAGTGCCGTGGCGTCAGCCTAGCTCACAGCAACCTCAAACTCCTGGGCTTGAGTGATCCTTCTGCCTCAGCCTCCCGAGTAGCTGGGACTACAGGCATGCGCCACCATGCCCGGCTAATTTTTTTATATATATATATATCAGTTGGCCAATTAATTTCTTTCTATTTATAGTAGAGACGGGGTCTCGCTCTTGCTCAGGCTGGTTTTGAACTCCTGACCTTGAGCAATCCGCCCGCCTCGGCCTCCCAAGAGCTAGGATTACAGGCGTGAGCCACAGCGCCCGGCATGTTTTTATGTCGCTAAAATTGTTGCCCATCTCCAGGATGTCTGGTGCTGTGACATCTTCCCACACTCACACCCCGTACCAAGGTGCAGCCACTGCATTTATCACTTACTGGGTCATAATGTTTCAAGTCATCAGAAGCTAATTTACTGACATCCCAGTTAACTGAACGCTGCTCCTTTCTCCTACTCAGTGCCTGTCATTTGTATTTTATCAGCGTCTGGTCCAGTAACAAGCCAATTTCAGACTCATGTGATTTCTCTCTAGCCACATGTCAAGGGGGCGTTTCTCAGCCCTGAGGGAGTGCAGTGGGGCCGGGGTGGGGGTGGGACCCATGCAGGTGACTCGTGGAGCCACCGGTAGGCATGGGGGAAATATGGTTGGATTGTGTGTATTTTTACAAGTTGGTGTGAACAAAGTAGCTTTAAAGAGACTATTTTATGAAGCACTAAGAATAAACCCAAAATAGGTTATTTATTCCAATAATGAGTTTAAAGGAAATTTTCCTAGATAACATCATTAAGGCCATTGTCTTCCACAGAGGCAAACTGGGTTCAATAAAGTGGCCTTTTCCAAGCATTAGGCCAGAGAACCGGTGGGAAGTTGCCAGGACAGGTATGGCTGAGGCCAGGTGACCCCCAGCCCTCGGGGTGGGGACGGTGCCAAGTGCAGAAGGGGTCGCGGCCAGGGCGTGTGAAGAGGGACGTGTTCAGATGCTTCCTCTCTAAACGTGTGCCCTGCTCATTTGTGGCATGAACCAAAGGATCAAATTATTCATTTCTTTTTCCTGAGCCTTAAAATAATCCCTTCTGTTTCAGTGGCCCTCCAGGGAGGCATGTTTGTTTCTGACTTTCCCAGGTGTGGTTCCGAAGAGGCGTCAACTCTCACAACCCCTGCGGCACCAGCTGGATCGAGATGGTGGGAGAAATGACGATGGTGAACGTGGGCCTCAACGACCAGGTGTGCGCTGGGGTCGCAGCTCGTAAGCGGTGGTGGTCTCAGAGTGGGGGGAGCCTCCCACGGCGGGGGGGGGGCGGGGGGAGGGCTCGTGCTGGCAGCACAGCAGGGGTCCCGGCACCTCTGCACACTCCCAGCCTGTGGGGCTGGTTCTGCCAGTCCCAGAGCCCCTGCTCGTCCCCTGGTCAGTCCCCAAGGACCCTCAGAGCAATGAGTATGGATCTGCAGGGTGGCAGGGAGCATCTTGGAAACTGGAGGGTTTCATTGAGAAACGTCTGGGTGACTCAGGTGGGTCAGCCACCAAGTGAAGGACGAAGCTGATCTCCTAACTTTGGCTCTGTGGGTGCTGTTCTTTTAAGCACCACCTGCCTGATTTTACAGCGGGGCCTCCTCTTTGGAGACACTGAGGTTTGGGCAGCTGTAAGACTCAGAGAGTACAGTCCTTGCTTTGAAGGTGACACCCGCACCCTGTCGCACTGCACTAGAAGCTCCTTCCAGGGTGCTGGGCTTCCCTTGGCCGCCATGTACTCCTGCCACCCACCCTGGTGACATAGCACACAGTGGCTGGTGCAGGACAGGTACCTGCTGGTGCCCAGGGGGCTGAGCCTGAGGCAATGACTGGCTCAGGCTTCCTTGGCCAAGTGATAGAGATGCCACAGCCCACCCAGCAAAGCCACCTTGGCCCCTGAGCAAACCTTCCTTCCTCAGCACCCAAGAGCAGAGGGTAGGACACCGGCCCAGCCACGCTTCCCCGAAGAGTGAGCTCAGAGTCGACGAGGTTGTTTTGCATCTTTAAAAGAGCAGGACCGTCTTTAGATTCACTTGGGGATCAGCTTCCCAACAGAGGCCACGCAGAAGATAGAGACGTGGGTGGACCTCATGTCCTTGCACAGGGTCCACCAGCCACACCACCACCTCTGCATCTTGTCACCCCAAAGCCCTGGGTCTGCCTGGGTCAGGGAGCCAGGACCAGGTCCCCGCTTCTCCTGAGCTTGCTGGTGTGCCCTCCACTTCCTGCACAGCCCCCACAGACCTTCAGCCCTCACACAAACTCATGCACACACCCCCCACACGTGGCGGCCCCTGCCTGTGTCTGCAGACGTGTCCTCTAGCCCTGCGGCACAATCTTCCGGCCCCGGTCCTACCCCTGCACTCCCAACAAGCGAGAGTAGCCCCTAGGCCTGTACCAGCCTCCTCTGAGCAGCACCTCTCTGTTCCAGGTCTGGGGCATTGGCTGCGAGGACCGAGCTGTGTACTTCCGGCAGGGCGTCACCCCCAGCGAGCTCAGCGGAAAGACATGGAAGGCCATCATGGCAGCCCGTGAGTGTGACCGGTCGCACTCTGGCAGTTCGTCGAGTCTCCTCAGGTGATCTGGGTGGCAGGGTGTGGAGGAGGCGGGCTGGGGATGGGCTGTCTGTGGCCTTGGAGGGCGGCGTCCAGAGGAGGCTGCCACCTGGCTTGGCAGGGTGATGGGTCTTGTCCCCGGCAGGAGAAAATCCGTCTCTGGCCCACAAGAACCACTAAGGGCTACAGCCTCCTGCCCTCAGATTTGTGCCTGGTGTGCTGCTCGGCCACCGCGGCCCCCAGAGAGGCGGTCCTGGGGGCAGCTGGGGCAGCCACACAGAGGCGTCATTAGACACCCTAGGCTGCACCTGGGGGCAGGCCGAGCCTGGGGTGTCCTGAAGGAGCCAGGCTCCACCTGAGCAGGGCTGGTCCACTGGTTCAGGAGATCTGGGAGAGAAAAGGCTTGTTTGTGGGTTGGACTCTAAGGCCCCTCTGAAAGGGAATCCAGGGCACAATGGAGAGTCTCTTGTCTGCAGCAGTGGTCTCAGATTTGGCGTGTGCCGGAGTTGCTGGAAGGCTCCTTCAGACATGGAGTTCCAAGCCCCGACCCAGAGTTTCTGTTTGAGATTTTGCGTTTCTCATAAAGTCCCAGGTCATGCTGCCACTGCTACAGTCCTGGGGACCTCACCTTGGGACCCATGGGTCTAAAGAGCATGGGAGAGTCCTAGCTCTGCCCACCAGCCATGAGAGCACAGATGAGTGACTTGGTGTCTGAGCTGGGGACACCTGAGCTCTACAGCAGAAGTGCCCACAGTCATGTGCATGGACTGAGACGGCCCGTGGGTCCCCGGCTCTGCAGCTCAGACCCTCCCCAGCCCCTGGTCCACACCTCTTCGCTCCCCAAGCTTGGGGGTCATCAGCCTACTGCACCGTCAGCCCCGAGGGCCAGGGAGGAGCTGGGAAGGGCTTTGCTCACGTTTCACCTGAGGCTTTAGTCTCCTCAGCTGCTAGTTCTTAACCTGGATGGCACATTGGAATCCGCTGAGAAGCTTCAAAAACTAGTGACGCAGCCGGGTGCGGTGGCTCACGCCTGTAATCCTAGCACTCTGAAAGGCTGAGGCGGGCGGATTGCTCAAAGTCAGGAGTTCGAAACCAGCCTGAGCAAGAGCGAGACCCTGTCTCTACTATAAATAGAAAGAAATTAATTGGCCAACTAATACATATATAGAAAAAAATTAGCCGGGCATGGTGGCGCATGCCTGTAGTCCCAGCTACTTGGGAGGCTGAGGCAGAAGGATTGCTTGAGCCCAGGAGTTTGAGGTTGCTGTGAGCTAGGCTGAAGCCACGGCACTCACTCTAGCCTAGACAACAAAGTGAGACTCTGTCTCAAAAAAAAAAAAAAAAACCTAGTGACGCCAAATCTTGACGACCTCAGGTTTGGCAGTGGCTCTTGGATCTGACACCAAAAGCACAGGCAACAAAAGGAAATATAGATAAATTGGACTCCATCATAATTTAAAACGTTTCTGAAACAAAGAACGCCATTAAGAGAGTGAAAAGACACAGAATGGGGGGAAAATATTTGCAAATCCTATGTCTGCTAAGGGTCTGGTGTCTAGAATAGATAAAGAAGTTTTACAACACAACAACAAGACAAACCACCCAATTAAAAAAGACCAAAGAACTTGAATAGACATTTCTCCAAAGAAGATACACAAATAGTCAATGTGAAAAGATGCTAAGGTCATTAGTCACTAGGGAAATGCAAATAAAAACCTTAATCAATACCACGTCACACCCACTGGGACAGGCATCCTCAAAAAGAAAGACAATGACAACCACTAGTGAGGATCTGCAGAAATTGGAACCTTGTGCACTGTTGGAGAGAACATAAAATGGCGCGGCCCCCTGGAGAGCAGTCTGGCAGCTCCCCAAGAAGTTAAACGTAGAATTACCCTATGACCCATCAAAGCCATTCGCAGGCATGTCCCCAAAAGAATTGAAAACAGGTGTTCAAGTAAAAACTTGTACATGGATGTTTATGGCAGCATTAATCACAACAGCCCAAAGCGGACACAACCCAAATGTCCATCAGTGGACGAACAAAATGTGGCCTAACCGTGCAATGGTACATCACTCACCCACAAAGAGGGAGGAAGTCCTGATGTCCTACACACAGACAAACCTTGGACACATCATGCGAGTGAGAGAAGCCAGACACAACAGGCCACGTGTGAATTCCACTAGTCCATTTCTATGAAATGTCCAGAGTAGGCAAGTCCACAGAGACAGAGGCAGATTGGTGGTTGCCAGGGGAGTCGGAGGTGGCGGGGAGGAGGATGGGGAGTGATTGCTTCACCATATGGGGTTTCCATTTGGGGTGATGAAAAGTTCTGGAACTAGGTAGTGGTGATGGTTGCACAACACTTTGAATGTACTAAATGCCCTGAACCATGTGCTTGGGCGTGGTTAAAGCGGTGATCTTTATATCATGTATTTGACCACAGTAAAAAAAATCCTAATTCTGGATCTCAGCCTGCAGATATGTTGATGTGATTGGTCTGAGGGGCGCTCAGGGGTCTGCTCCCTGGGAGGCAGGTGTCCCTGTGTGTGTTGCACAGAGGAGCAGACAGGCGCTCAGAGAGGTTGGGACTTGCCCAAGGTCTCGTGGGCAGCCGTGGTGGAGCACGCTGGAGCCAGGCCTGCCTGACAGCAGTGTGTGTCCCCCGCAAGGCAGTGACAGGTCTGCCCTGTTTTGTCCCCAGTGCTGGCTGCTTCTTTGGCGACGAGGTGAAGGGCAGTGGCGAGTCGGCACCTAGCGACACCGATGCCACCTCGGAAGTTGAGAGACCAGGTCCTGGCCAGCATCTCCCCGTGGAGTCTTTGGACAACTCCAGGAACCTCAAGGAGAGCTTGGCCTCGGGCCCAGTGGCCAGCAGGACTGCAGAAGGTGTCATTGAGAATGCCTGCCCCACCGAGGGTGGCCCTGGCCTGGCCTCCACCCCAGCGGTGCTGCCCTGGACCAATATTGACCTGAAGGAGCCCAAGAAGGTGCCCAGCCACTCGGCTGCTGGCTTCCCCGAGACCACCGGCCTCTCCTCCATGGGGCTCCTGCCCCTGGGTTTGGAGGAGCCCTATGGGGCGGAAGACCACCCGCTGTGGGCCTGGGTGTCGGGAGGCGGCTGCGCGGTGGAGGCCTGCTACGTGCCCAAGTGGTTTGCTGCCCAGTCAGGTAAGGCTTCCTGCGGAGCCCATGCCCATCGGCAGGGCCCAGTGTCCCAGAGGGTGCTCCTGGGGGACGTGGGGAGAAAGAGGAGGCCTGGATGCTTGGGCAGGCCCACTGTCCTGCCTGATCGCCCCCTGTCGTAGCAGCAGTGGCTGTTTTCTAGGCTGAATTGTCAGGGGGCAGCAACTTGCCCATCGGATGGGCAAGTGTGGGGAGAGACTCACGGGGCATTTTGCAAAGATTGTAGCTTTCTGGCAAGACAAGGCTGGTCTTGCAGGGAATAAAAGCCCTGGCCTCCTGCCCAGCTGCAAGCAGGACGGTGCCCTGAGGCTCTGGCTGGCCCACAGGCCTGTCCCCCTCGGTGCAGACGTTGTCCCTGTCCATCATGCCGGCCCAGACCGCCGCCTGGAGGAAGCAGATCCTCCAGCAGCTCACAGAGAGGACCAAGCGGGAGCTGGAAAACTTCCGGCATTATGAGCAGGCCGTGGAGCAGGTGAGTGTCCTGCTGTCCCTGGATGCATTTTTTTTCCAACAAGCATTCATTGAGCGCCTGCTGTATACCAGCCCTTAGGTGGGGTAGAAGAAATAGATGGGTGCATCCACTGCTCTATGCATCCCTCCCAGGCCACACACGGCAGATTCAAGGATAAAGAAATGAGTTCATTTGCTTATTCTTTTATCATGGAGAACTTTTGTTTGGGCCCCACTGCATTCCAGGTGGATGTAGGCCCTGGGGACCCTGAGGTGGCAGCAACCTCCGAGGGAGGTGGGAGGGGAGGGGAATTACATTGTCCTGTCCTGTCCCTGCTAAGGGCAGCCCGGTGCCCAGACAGGCATCGTCTTAATGACACGAGTCAGCACAGGGGTGAGGGCTGCCTTAGACCATCCCCAGAGCCGACCCTGCCTGGGCCCTCAGGGACCCACCTGGAGCACGTGACCAGCCTTGTTCAGGGCTTGGCCCAGGCTCGGCAGAAGTGTCCAGCCAGTGGCTGAGCTGGGCTTCTGGACATAGGCTGGCCACAGTTTGGGTCCCAGCTTTGCTGCTGACTCACTCTGTGACACTGGGCCAAGTATGGAACCTCCCTGAGCCTCAGTTTCCCCAGCCAGAACACGTTGGGTGTCCCATGGCATTACTATTGTCTTTAACGTGAGAGGTGGAACTGGGGGTGGAGATCCCCCCAGGAAGCAAGGAGGCCAGGTACTAGGGTGTCTCTGGGGGTGCCGGGAGTGGGGCTCCAGGGTCTGTGGGGCCAGGGCTTGCCGTGACTGTCCCCCTGCCCTGGGGCGCGTGCCTAGTCGGTGTGGGTGAAGACCGGGACCCTGCAGTGGTGGTGCGACTGGAAGCCCCACAAGTGGGTAGACGTCCGCGTGGCCCTGGAGCAGTTCACGGGGCATGATGGCGCTCGGGACAGCATCCTCTTCATCTACTATGTGGTCCACGGGGAGAAGAAGGTGAGAAGGGGTTCCCACTGGGGATGGAGCTCGATGAGAGGGGTGTGGGGCTGAGGGTGCCCAGGGAGGGGTGTCCCCAAGGGGCAGTATTCCCAGGAGAGGGGACACAGGGCTGGGGGTGCAGGAGTGGGTCTAGGACAGTGGGCCAAGGTGCTCAGTCTGAGATCCACGTCTCGAGTTTACCAAGCTCTTGCTCTCGGGTCCTGCCAGCAGTGGGCAGGTGCATGCCAGCGTGACCCCAGCCTCACAGAGCCATCCCCCCACCAAGTAGCTGCCTACAGGCTCTTGTTTTCCAGCTGAGAGATCAGGCTTGGGAAGATAGTCTTTCACCCCTCCCGACAGCCGGCACATGCCAGGCAGTCACCATCTTGGCCAGGTGTGGTGGCTTACGCCTGTAATCTCAGCACTTTTGGAGGCCGAGGTGGGAGGATCGCTTGAGCCCAGGAGGTTTGAGGTTACAGTGAGCTATGATGATGCCACTGCACTGTAGCCTGGGTGACAGAGAGAGACCCTGTCTCTAAACATTAAAATAAAATAAAATAAAATAATACATTTTTTAAAGCATGTCTTTAAGATGTAGCAGAGGCATCTGTTAACAGAGTCTGGCTTTGATGCTTGGCCTTGTAGCTACCACTGAGACCTGTAGGCCCAGGACGCGCCCTGTAGAATCACGGTGACCTGTCCCTGTCTGTCCCCCACAGTGGGGGGCATACCTCCCCAAGGCCCACTCTGCCCCGGGTGACAGCCCTGCCCGTGCGCCCACTCTCTGCACAGTACATCCACGTGTTCCTCAATGACGTGACGGTGCTGGTGCCTCTGCTCAGTGAGGGCAAGCACTCCTTTGCCCTGTACACCCCTGAGAGGACGCGGCAGAGGTGGCCCGTGCGTCTGGCTGCCGCCACCGAGCAGGACATGAATGACTGGGTGAGTGGGGGGTGGTCCCCGTGGGCTGGGGTTGGGGGACGGCCATCGCAGGGCAGCCTGGCCTGGCCTGCCCAGTGGTGACCAGCAGTGTGCCATGGCAGCTCGCTCTGCTCAGCCTGTCCTGCTGTGAGAGCCGGAAGGTCCACGGCCGCCCGTCCCCTCAGGCCATCTGGTCTGTCACCTGCAAGGGGGACATCTTCGTGAGTGAGCCCAGCCCAGACCTGGAGGCCCAAGAACACCCGCTGCCCTGTGACCAGATGTGAGTAGGCTGCACTGCGATGGGGCCTGGGGCTCCCCCTGCCCCAGCACCCAGTGCTCATGGTTCCAGAAGGGAGCCCCCCTGCACCCAGGATCCTAGCCCACACGGGACCAGAGGCTGCTGGTTCCCAGGCCCCGAGCCCTCTGCGGAACCAGAAGCCTGGCTGGGCTGAGGGCTGGGCAGCTCCCGAGTGTCAGGAGGCGCATAGAGAGCGGATGAGCTGGCTCAGCGCCCCGCCCCTGGGGTCCCAGGACAGGGCTGGGAAGTCACGTCCCTCCGCCTGCCCGGGGCACAGACCTGGCGCTCGGCCACTTACAACTCCTACCAAGCCCCTGCTGTGAGGGGTGGCTGGGGCCCGGGGGCAGAGAGGAGAGAGTAGCTGCTGGCCGAGGGAAAGTTCGATTGGGGGGGGGTTTTCTGGGTAGAGATGGTAGGGTTTGAGGTCCACTGGGCGTGAGGCAGGAGAGAAGACTTGGAGCTTGGTGGCTGGGAGGACAGGAGCAGGCTCTGGTGGAGGCAGGACCCAGAGGACCAGGAGGTGGGCAGCCAGGGCTGGACGCTGTATGGGAAGTGTCACTGTCAGGGTGCTGAAAGCCACAGAGGGAATGCGGTTGCCTGGGGAAGAGTGTGAGCAGAGTCCTAAGGAGGAGGGCCCGGCAGGGGACACCAGTGCTCACAATTCTGCCCCAGGCCTGGTCAGAGGGGCTGCCCAGCAGGCCACCCAGCGCTGCTGAGGCCCTGGACTCAGTTACCAGTGATGCCAGGACCAGGGGACTTACATGAGCCCAGGAAGCCCTGGCCACAGGAGGGGGTAGTGGCACCTAATTAAGTGAGTCAGACCACCTCTGGTGACAGGGACAGGGCCTCGGCCACAGAGGGCTGAGCGACTGCTGGCTGCACTCTGCCTGCCTAGGAGGCTGCGCTGTCGCAGGGCAGCCTCTTGCTGACACTCTGGCAGCCACTGGCCGCACTGTCGCTCATGCAGATGATTAGACGTCATCTCCTGCTATCTGCCGTGATATTCAAGCTTGGCTGCACTTGTCACTGGCCAGCCCGTCCCCATGTCCCAGACCCCAAGGAGTGATGTGAAACAGCTGCTGGCCTTGTGCCCATCCGTGTCACCTCAGGGGTTGGGTGGACAGGCTCCTGAGGCCCCCTGCCTGTGAGCGATCCTCTCATGCCAGCTCTGTAGCGTCGATGTATACAAAAGGGGAGGCCACGCAGGGTAGGATTCTATCCGCTTGGACACCGAGGATTTATAAAATACCATGTCCGGGGGAGGCCACAGAACCCAGGGCTGTGGGGAGTGGAAGGTTGGGAAGCTGGGACTGAGGTTCCCGCCGCACTCTCTCCTCCTCGCAGGTTCTGGCGGCAGATGGGAGGCCACCTGCGGGTGGTGGAGGCCAACAGCCAGGGCGTGGTGTGGGGCCTCGGCTACGACCACACGGCTTGGGTGTACACAGGTGGCTACGGCGGAGGCTGCTTCCAAGGTGAGGGCGTTCCCTGCCTGGATCCCCGCCTGGCTCCCCTGCCCGGCGCCAGGCTGCTGTCCCAGTGTTCACACTCGGCTAGCAGCTGGCTGACAGGTGACCTTCACCACTGCCAGCCTCCACACAGGCTGGGCCAACCTGGGCCGACCCATGAGGCTCAGGAGCCCAAGACCAGGCCTCACCTCCCACACACCCCTGTGATGCACCTGCTGAGCCAAAGGCCTTGAGGATTCTAGAAAGGCAGCTGCCAGCCATCCAGCCCTTTGTTTGTGAAATTTCAGGGCGTTGGGCAGCCCCAGTGCCCGGTTCCCTGAGCCTGAGTCTGTCCACAACTCTGGCCCCTGGTTAGGTGGTTGTTCCTTCAGGGTCAGAGCTTGCTGAACCCCTATGGTTCTCCCAACTTCTGGGAGGTGTAATCCTTGTGTCTCCTACTGGAAAATGGAAGCAGAAACACTGAAAAAGGACATTCCTAAGCCTTAGCCCACATGCCCCACAGTGGGGAGCAGCTAACCCTGTAGAACTGTGGTCCACTAAGACCACAGGAACGTGCGTCTGAGCAGACTTACCAACCTTCCTATTTGTGAGGCAAGAATTTCGTCTTCATTGGACAAGTGAGGAAATTGGGACTCACTGAGGTTAATGGTCCCAGCTACCTTTGCTAATAAGGAGTGAGCTGGGCAGGCCTTGCACCTTCCCGGTGAATGAGTAGGATGGCAAGGAAGAAGAGGTGCGGCGGAGAGCAGAACGTGAGGTGGGGGTGCTGGGAGTGGCGGGGATGGGAGTTTAGTGCACAGCAGGCTCTTCTCATTGAGGTTGCGCAACCCCAGAATAATCAGGGCACGGAGGAGAGAAACCCAAGCCAGGCCGGCCCACGAGATAAGCGCAGCAGGCCCGCTCGCCCCCTCCACCGGCCTGGCTCCAACCCGCCCTCCCGCCTGCTCTCTGCGGGAATCAGTGCTTCACATAGAAAGCCGGAGTCGGTCTCAGCAGCCTCCTCTCCCCGCAGGCCTGGCCAGCAGCACCAGTAACATCTACACCCAGTCGGACGTGAAGAGCGTGTACATCTACGAGAACCAGCGCTGGAACCCCGTCACGGGCTACACCAGCAGGTGAGCGGGGTGGGTGCCTGGCCGGGTGCCGCCTGGGTCAGGCCCTGGCCTTGATGGAAACAGGACAGCAATGTCCATTGTGGCCTGGAGCTGACTGGATCTTACTGCTCTCCGAGGTTTCCTTCCCACTTGATTCTTTAAGTGGAATGCACATTTTAAAAACTCACTAATTAAGAGGTATAACATACAAAGTTCACAAAGCAAATATATGTACGTGTCTGTATGTATGGTGTATATCTCTTTATATGTATGTCATGAGTCATCACAAATTGAGCACCAGTGTCACCACTACTCAGGTCAAGGACCAGCACATTGCAAACCTCCCTGCCCCCATCCCCTCCCCAGCCCTTCTCCCTCAAACCCCTTGGTCCATAAGACCTGCCACCCTCACTCTGGGCACCGCTGTGTTTTGCATGTTTCTGGTGGTGGTGAGATGACTCTCCCGCTGTGGTTTGCCTTTTCCCTCTCTTAGCGGTGACTTTTGGTTTTTAAATGTGACCCAGCTGATCAGTCGTCTTCTTTGCATAAAGTTTTAGGGCTGTTAAAAAATCCTTTTAAGGCATCTCGTTGACCGGAGGTATCAGACACATTCTGCCGTCTTCTGGAACAGCAGTCGGCAAACTTTATAAAGGTAGTACATAGTTCAGGCTTTGTGGCCCTTGTAGCCTCTGCCACAACTACCCACCTCTGCAGTTGTCACTTGAAAGCGGCCAAAGGCAACGCGTAAGGGAACATGCATCGATGTGTCACAGCGAAACTTTCTACTGGGCACTGGAACTTGAGTTGCACATAATTGTCACATGTCACAAAGCCTTGGCCTTCTTTTGGTTATTTGCAACCATTTATAAGTGTAAAAACCACCCTCAGCTTGTAGGCTGTACAGAAACAGACAGCCGCCACCCCCCACCCCCCGCCCCAGACTATTTGGTAGATAATGTGAGGTCAAGTTGGTTTTTTGCTTGTTTCTTAAATATCCAGTGACTCACACCATTTATCAAGGAGGCTGTCCTCTCCCTCCGCCACTACAAAGTGCCACCTTAGTCTTGAATCAAGTGTCCAGGCAGCAAGAGGCAGCAGCCTGTTCCAGGGCTAGTCTGACCCGCCCAGCAATTGGTGTCCTTGAACTAATCCCCACGGTGCAGTCACTGTCCCTCTACAGGAAGGTGTCAGAGCTGGTAGAACAAATTCTCTTCAGTGGGACTTTGGCTCTTCTTGGAGCTTTTCTAGATGAGTTTTAGAAGCAGGTTGTCACTGTCCTTAAAAACTGTTGGGATCTTGGTTGGGAAGATCTTGGATCTGTAGGTTCCTTGGGGAGAATGGTTCTCTTCCACGAGGAAGTCTCTAACTCCGTGGACAGGGTGTATACCTCGTTTATGTAATTTCTTCTCAATGAGGTTTTGTGATTTTCTATGTGAATGTCCTGACATCTTTTATTTTCATATTTTTGATACCATTATTAATGGCACCAACTTTTTTATTTACTATTTTTATCGAGGCTACATAAAGAAATAACAATTGATTTTTTTCCTGATTTTCAAAATTGGCAAAATAAATACCAAATGACATAAAGAACAAACTCCATGACGACCCTAATCTCACCAGCCAGAGACAGTAATCACTGTTAGCCGTGGCACGTTACCTCCCAGCTGCCCACTGTGCTCTCGTGTGTCTGCGTGGGGGTGACAAGGCCAGGCCCACGGTGGTGGCTGCAGCGGCCTCACCACCCCATACCCGCGGTGGACCCGGCCAATCTAACCTCCACTCAGTCTTGAACGTGTAGATTGTTTGTGACCTTTCACTGACACACGGAACAATGTAAAGGACTCCCTCGTGTGTAAATATTTGTGTCTCTCTGTTTGCCCCCATAAATCAGAGCATTTGAACATTTCTAAGGCGGCTGACGCACTTTGCCAAGATCTCCTGAAAACCCGCACCTCAGCCGAGTGTAGCGTGCACACTGTGTGCACGCGTGTGAGGTTTTCTGGTTTGGTTGTTTATTAAATATCTGGTGACTTAAACCGTGATGGCCTCCCGACATCCTCCTTGGTCCTCACGAGGAGTGGGGTGGTGCTCCTGTGTCCGTCAGAGAGGGCAGGCCGAGGGCCACACGGGTCCTCACCTATGAGGGCCCCTCTGTAGGCTCCAGGCATCTGGGCCTCAGCTGCCTGCCCCGCCGGCCCGTGTGCTGCTCGCTGCCACGCTGGTGTCCCATGGCAGCCACAGCGAAGTAGCACAGACTGGGTGGCTTGAGCGTGAGACATGTATTGTCTCTCGGTTCTGGAGGCTGGAAGGCCCGGACCAGGCGTGGGCAGGGTGAGTTCCTTGTGACGGCCGTGAGGGAGAGCCTGCCGCAGGGCTCTGTCCCAGGCTCTGTGTCCTCACCGTGGCCTCCCTCTGTGTGTGCCTGGATCCAAATTTCCTCCTCTTATGAGGACCCCAGTCATCTTGGATTAGGGCCCCCCTAAGGACCTCATCTTAACTGGTCATCTGCAGAGTCCCTATTTCCAAATAAGGCTACGTTCCCAGGTGTTGAATGTAGGTTAGGACGTCGACATATTTTGGGGTCACAGTTCAACCTGTAGCGAAAGGGAAAGAGAGGTGGCTTCCACACTGCACGGAGCACTGGGTGATGTGGGTCACCCCAGTTGGTCGGTCTCCTGTCTGGGGCAGTTCTGGTTTTGCCTATCACCCCCCCCCCGGCAGTGAGAGTGTCTGAGGCGGCTTGCTCTGGGGCTGGAGCTCTGGAACTTTCCTTCAGGCCCCCACTGAGCATTACAGGTACCAGGGCTGGGCGGGCCAGCTCTCGGTTCTCCCCCATCAGCCTGCCCCTGTCGTCCTGCCCCAGGGGACTGCCCACAGACCGGTACATGTGGAGTGACGCCACTGGGCTGCAGGAGTGCACCAAGGCCAGCACGAAGCCCCCATCTCTGCAGTGGACCTGGGTGAGCACCCCTGCTGCCCTCTAGGGGTGTCCACCTGCCCCTCCCTGCCTCTCCCCTGCTTTCTGACAGGTCTGTGGATTTGGGGGTCCCTTCCTCACTGACTCACTCCTCCCCAGGTTTCTGACTGGTCTGTGGATTTCAGCGTGCCTGGTGGCACTGACCAGGAGGGGTGGCAGTATGCCAGCGACTTCCCTGCGTAAGCACCTCCCTGCTGCCCCCAGCCCTGGCTAGCCCGGGCCCCACGCCGGGGCCAGGCAGGTGAGGAGCCGCAGCCCTGGGGCCTGGCAGCAGGTGTGGACCTGGACAGGCCCTTCGGGGCACATGAGTCACGTCCAGCCTGGAGGCAATGGAGCCAGAAGGGCCTGGGGAGGAGGAAGCAGCCCCCAGATCGTGGCTCACCCAGAGCCGGCCCCTCGTGCAGCCAGGCCTCCCAGACTGACCCTGCCCTCGGCCTGGCCCCTCCGCCGCTGTCCCCTGGGGCAAGGATCATGCACTGGGACACCTACTTCTCTGAGCCTGTCAATGGCTTACACTGAGGCTGTGTGACCTGTAACCGGTAGAAAAAGAATGGGTGCAGGGTCACTTTCCAGAAATTTCAACGAAGTGGCCTTGATCTCATCTTCTTTCTCTTGCAGCTCTTACCATGGGTACAAAACCATGAAGGATTTTGTCAGGAGAAGGTGCTGGGCCAGGTGAGGCGGGGCCACAGTGACGGTCACTCTTGCTCCCTCTCCCCACTGCCGGGTCCCTAGCCTCTGACCTCAGTCCCAGGAAGCAGTAGGAGAGGGACCGGGAGAGGGATCGGGAAGCCAGGAAGCCGAGTCTAAGTAAATGTCAGCCCAGGAAACGCCTGCGGGCTCCCAGCGCTCTCTGGTTTCAGAAGAGTTTGTTTTCAAGAACAAATAAGAGAAATGTCACTGGCAGGCTTGGCCAGTTGTAAGGACAGAGGACAGGCCTGGCTGGGGGTGGGGGTGGGGAGGGAGCCACCCTGGGCGCTCATCCTGGCCTCTCTCAGGGTCCTGGCCCCCAGTTCCCTGCCTCCCCCAGTCTCAGGCTGCTCTCCTCCTCCCCTTCCCTCATGCCCAGGGCTCCAGCACGGTGATGTCAGGGTCCCCTCTGTGCTCTTTCCACTGTACAGAAAATGCAAGCTGGTGACCAGTGGGCCCTGGCTCGAGGTGGCCCCCATCGCCCTCAGGGACGTGTCCATCATCCCAGAGAGCCCAGGCACCGACAGGAACGGGTCCAGCATCGCGCTCTGGGCTGTCAGCGACAAGGGGGACGTGCTATGCCGCCTGGGCGTGTCCGCACTCAACCCCGCGGTGAGCGCCTTGCCCGGTGCTTCTTGAAACCAGGACTCCAGCTCTGGAGTCAGGCTGAGCTCGGGCCTCCCTGGGCCTCCCGAGGGGGACACTGGGCCCTGCAGGCAGCTGGCGCTGAGGATAGGTTGGTGCAAGGAGCCCAGCCCCTCTCGGGGCCTGGGGAAGGGTGACAGGCAGGCCCAGGGACACTGCCCAAGGCCCGGGGACACTACTGTGGTCAGGTGCACGCGCTGCTGCTTTCCCTGCGTGTGAGATGAGAAGGTGAACAGAGGGTTCAGCAAGTGTCATGATCAGGCCATGGTCAGGGCCAAGTCAGGCAGGGCTGGGTCTGTGTGACCCTGGCTGCCCCCACTGCCCACCTGCTGGGGCTGTGTCACCCAGACCTGAGGGGATGGGTGGGCCTGGCAACCTCGGTGGCCACCTCACTGCCCCCCCATCCCCCCGCCGCCTGTTCCCAGGGCTCCTCCTGGCTGCACGTGGGCACCGACCAGCCCTTCACCTCTGTCTCCATCGGGGCCTGCTACCAGGTGTGGGCTGTGGCGAGGGACGGCTCCGCCTTCTACCGGGGCTCTGTGTCCCCCTCCCGGCCGGCTGGTGAGTGCCACCCCCCAGGAGGCTGTGATAAGTAAGCGACATGTCTGAGTTGGCAGACACTGGCTGGTTGGTCTTGTCATTTTCAGTTCAGCTTAACAAGCGTTTATTGAATGTCACCTTTGGACCAGGCACGGGGGCTAGGCCAGGCTCCCCCCAGAGGCCGTGTCCTCATCCCACTGGGACCACCTAGTGACAGGGCAGACCTGGCTGTCCAACCCTTCCAGCGGTCACTTTGTGCCTCCACCCTCATGGCCCACTCTGGGGACTGTCCTGGAGGACAGGCTGTGCTGGCATGTTCTTCGCTGGTCACATTTGGACAGGGCCCAGCACGGGGTAGGCAGGGCAGCCCCCGGGGCCGGCTCTCCACTGACTGCCAGGCTGGGCACCTTCGTGTCCATGCTGGTGAGATGGGTCTGAACCTGCCACGGCCTCCGGAGGGCCCAGGGCAAGGCTGGGGTTCTGGGTGGACAGCAGGGCACAGGACAGGTGTGCTTGAGACCATGGCCAGCCACCCGCGCCTGGCCCACTGCGAGCTGGGGAGGAGGCCACGTGGGCTGGGAGTGTCCGGGCCCCAGGGTGCGGCCTGAGTCAGCTCTCCCCTCACAGGCGACTGCTGGTACCACATCCCGTCTCCCCCTAAACAGAGACTAAAGCAGGTGTCTGTCGGGCAGACGTCGGTGTACGCCCTGGACGAAAATGGCAAGTTGTTCTGATCTTCCTTTGTGGTCCTCTGGGAGCTGCCGGGTCCCTGAGCACCTGACGGGACGAGGCCCCCGCGCTGGACAGGCTGCAGGAGGGGGTGGGGGTGGGAGTCCTCCCTTTTTCCAGAAGCATCCAGGCCTTTCTGGGCCATGCTTTCCTGGGGGCTGTGGAGCTGGACCAGGTGCCAGGGCTGAGCAGGTGTGACCTGCCCATCTCAGTGACCATGAGATCGCTGCAGTCCGGGCCCAGAGGGGCCACCAGGGGTTGGGCCCAAGCCGAGCAGCACTGTCCCGCCCCTGACACAGACCTATAACCACCGTGAGAGGCACTTAGCCTCTTCCCCAAGTTTTACAGGGGCTGGGGGCACCGGCCAATGGCACGGCATCAAGGCCAGGGTGATGCTGCTTGGCGGGGCCTGCACAAGGAGCATCTTCTAGAAGGTTCCACCCAGGCCTGTGACAGGAGGCCATCCTTGAACCCATGTCACCTCAGGCAGGGCTCTTGCCAGCTCCCTGCTGTATTTGCAGTTGTTGCAGATAAGGAGAAGGCTGGGAGAGGTAGAATCAAGGCTGAAATCTAGGCCAGGCGAGGTGGCTCACGCCTGTGATGCCAGCACTCTGTTGGGTGGGAGGATCGCTGGAGGCCGGGAGTTCAAGGCTGCAGTGAGCTGTGATTGTACCTCTGTACCGCAACCTGGGTGACAGAGCAAGACCCTGCCTTAAAAATAGAAGAAAAAAAAAGACTGAAATCCAAGGTGTTTACTTCAGATACCTGGTTCTCTTTTTATTTGTTTAAAAATTATTTGTCCTCAGTTTCTACCTCAGTAGAAAGAGGATCATGACGCCAGCCCTGCTGGGCACAATAGGATGATTATGAGGCTTGGGGAAGCCCAGAGCGTGCGGAGGGCGGTGGTGGCCCAGAGAGGACAGCAGGGGCACGGCCTTGACTGGGTGGCCAGGCCCCCAGCCTCCCTAGCCACCCTGCAGGAGGCCCAACGTTGGAGCTGCAGGAAGGACGACCAGGTGGCCTTTGCCTCTGACCTGCTTCTCTCTGCAGGGAACCTGTGGTGTCGCCAGGGGATCACGCCCAGCTACCCGCAGGGCTCCAGCTGGGAGCACGTGTCCAACAACGTGTGCAGCGTGTCCGTGGGGCCCCTGGACCAGGTCGGGGGTCAGAGGGTGGCGGGTATTAGAGTGCCCGGGTCCCCAGATCCCACTGCTAGAGTGCCCGGGTCCCCAGATCCCACTGCAGCGGGGGCCGGGCCTGAGCGGGTCTATGTTCCAGGTCTGGGTGATCGCCGACAAAGTCCAGGGCAGCCGCAGTCTGAGCCGGGGGACAGTGTGTCACCGTACGGGCGTGCAGCCCCACGAGCCCAGTGGGCAGGGCTGGGACTACGGCATCGGGGTAAGTGGGGGCAGCTGGCCCAGACAGGGCTGTGGTCACACTGCCCGCACTGGTACTCGGGCAATGGGGTGGAAGGAAGGTCCCCAGGCAGAGCCCCTGGGAGCCCTGGCACCCCCTGTAACACAGCTCTCTCCTTCCAGGGAGGCTGGGACCACATCTCTGTCCGGGCCAATGCCACCAGAGCCCCCCGGAGCTCATCCCGGGAGCAGGAGCCGAGCGCCCCAAAGGAGGCCCTGGGCCCCGCCTGCTGCTGAGGCCGCAGCGCTCCTGGATGCAGGTGGTGCCCGGTTGAAGGATCAAGGCTGAGCCATTCTTGAGCTGCAGTGTGCACCATGGGGGCTGCTCAGGAGGGAACCTGGGCGAGGCCACGGCCACTTCAGAGGCATTGGCTGAAATAGCCCAGAAATGTGAAGCTCCGGATGCCCGGCATGTGTCCCCTAGCCTTCGAGAAGCTCCACAGGTGGGGGGTAGAGCTGCACCTCCCAGAGGCCCTGCCCCTCGGCCTCCCACCTCGACAGAACCCAGGAAGGAGCCCCCTGGAGCCGGCCTCTCAGGCAGCAACCCGGACCTGCCACCCCGCCTCCCCACCTGAGAGACACTGGCCTGGGGCTCAGGGCCACTTTGTCATGAGCTGTGACTGTTTCTCAGAGCAGGACTTGCAAAGAGGGTTTCATTTCACAGCTAAGGCTCGAGTGGGTGGGGTGTCTTCCCCAGTTGGGCCGGGGCTGGCAGAAGACAGAGGCTGCCCAGGGCTGGGAGATGGCGTCTATGTGCTGGGTCACCGTCATCAGCCCCTAGACAGCCCCTTCCCCAGACTTGGGGGGGGTGTGGGGGCTCCTTGGGTGTGGATCATGTTGAGGGGCAGCAGGCGTCCTGGGGAGCAGGACTGTGCCTGGGCCAGCAGCAGGGTGTGGACACAGACCCCCAGCCTGTCCTGTGCATGCCAGGGCGAGAGCCCTGCCCGGCCAGGCGAGGAGGAAGGGCCCAGCTAAGTGGCCCTGGCTCTTGCCCAGCAACTTCTCTGCTGCTTTTTATCCCATTGTGCCCCGTTTGGAGACTTTGCTTCCTACACTGGACTCTTTGCCTAGGAGGTCGTCAGAGCCCGATTCCTGTCTCTGCTCAGTTTGAGATAGAATGAAGGGACTTGTCACCAACTGGCCTCCCTGGGATCCTGCCTGTTTCGTTGTCAGCAGGGGGTCAGCTGTGCGTTTATATCTGATCCCATTTTGCTGCAGTGTCTGTCACCCAGATAGACACTGACTCTAAAAAAGGTCTCCCCTGGGGTCCTCTCCCATGGTGGGGGGGGGTGCTGCTAGGAGCGGGGCCAGGTGTGTCTGGTGCGGTGCTCAGGCCAGTCGCAGGCAGAGACCCCGTGCTGCGTGTTTACATTTTGGTGTCAGTTGTCCTGTGGGTGGGCATTGTGGTTCGTCCCCTGCAACAGTGCCCTGTGCGTCCTGCTGTAACTCGCTGTCTGCAGGTGGCTCTCAGCACAGGGTGTCACTCTGCCTTTCTCCAGGGTGACATGTTCTCTCACTGCTAAGCACCAACTGTTTACTTGCTCAGCATCCTTTGGATGCTTTATTCAATAAAAATTTGCACCAGAGTGTAAACGGCATGATGCTTTGATTGCTATGTTGTGATTAAAACGCGCAGTCCCCGTGCACTTGTGCATGGGCGAAAGCAGCAACTGCTGTGAAATCTTTTATTTTCATTTTATGACACAGCATTGATTTCATTAGTACTTTGAAGGGACCATTAGAAAAAATAAAAGCAAATTTGTGTCATTTAAGAGACATTTTCACCACAATTACAGCAGGAGCACGGGCCGTTCAGTTCCAGTCGGGTTTTCCCAGACAGAGAAGTGGCAGTTCTGGTTTCTCTGCTTGTGCTGGTGAGGACCTCGCCTCCGGAGCTGGCTCAGGGCGCTGGTGCCAGGCTGGGTGGGTAGCTGGCTGGGTTGATGGCCCAGGGGTGCGGCGCAGGCGGCCAGGGCTCAACAGCATGTAGGTCCCTGACCTGCTTGTGTGACGACTTTGGGAAACTCAGACCTCATGGCCCAGGCAGAGCCTCCCTGCAGGGCGGGAGAGTCCAGCCTGGGCTTGGGGTCTGAGACAAGCGCCAGGGAGCAGCCCGGCAGCAGGCCTGTCACAAGACCTATCCCCTCACCTCCCCTAACACTTGACACCCCGAAGTGGGACTGGGACATCGGAACATCCTTCCTCATGCGGCCACAAGGCAGTGGATCCCCTCCGGCTACGGGTGAAGGACTGGGCAGCGGGCCCTAGGTCACCCTCTGAGAAGCAGAGGGCGCAGGTGCCAGTTTGGGGCAGAAATCCCTGAGTAGCCCTGGGCTGTGGCGTGTCACCAGGCATGGTCTCCTGGACAGAGCCTCCACTGGGCACCCTGCCCTGTGTTTTCGGGCTCAGCCTGTCTGTCCATTAAGCAAGGACAGACCCTGCTCCGGTCGCAGCTTGGAGGGAAACAAAGGCTGCCAGGTCTGTGGCACCGTGACTGCCCTCATGCTGGAGGCCCCACCATGTCACATCCCCGCCAGCGGGTGCCCACAGTTGGGGAGGCCTGGGCTCCCGAGCTGAGACCTATGCTCAGCCCCAGATGAGGCCCAGAGGGGCAGCAGGACTGGCACGAGAGTAAGTCTCGCTGAGGCAAGACCCACATGCTGGGGCCGCCTTCCAGAGGGCCTAACCAATAGTCCCTCTGGTGCCACCTGTAGCCCTTGATATGGTGGCCAGGGCTGACCCCAAACCTGTTGGTGCATTTAGCGTCTGGTGCCAGGACCCCCATGGGGAGGGCAAGGCCGAATGGTGGGGACTAGTCAGCTAGAGCCCTGGGCCCAGCTTGGCCCCCAACCATAGCACCTGGGGAGGGGCCTGGCCCCCAGGGGCCTCTGGGACAGCTCCAGGCCAAGGGACGAGGGAGGAGTTGAGAGCAAAGTGGCCAAGTCCGGCGGAGCCAGTGGGACAGGAATGCCCGAGAGAAGGAAGCTGGGCCTGAGGCGTCAGGGACATGCCAAGTCGCCTGGGCTCTGCCACCCAGGTTGGGGGAGGGAAGTGCTGCCACCCCCAGGCTCCACTCACAGAAAGCCCTAAAGGGTCCCCTAACTCAAACCAGGACCCAAGACATCCTAGAGTCCTACAGACTGCCCTCGCCAATTACAGGGCAACCCACATCCAGTCACTACGCTGGAGGCCGGGGACAAACCCCCTCTCCCCGCACTGCCAGGGCTGGGCAGGAGGCTCCAGGACCTGGAAGCCTCTCTCCTGGGTGAGCCCAGAGGGCAGCACCAGGGACACCCAGCTGCCTCCAACTCCAGCTCCTCGGTGCCCCCAGGGGTCAGGCCCAGATGTTCCACACTGGCTGGGGGTGCTGCCCCCACAGAACCCCCCACTCAGGAGGAGGGAGAAAGAGACTCCAGCCCCTCATCCCAAGGTTCCCTTAGAGTGAATTCGAGGTCACTTGATGAGGGTCTCTGGCAGCTGACCTGGACACTCCAACCATCTTAGGCACCCTCCACAGAGGCCCCAGGCTTTGCCTGGCTTGTTCTGGGCCTCAGTTTACCCCAAATGAGGACGCTGGGCCAGCCCCACGCTGCTGTTGGAGGAGGGTCCTTCCCTGGCCTTGGCCCAAGTGTGGCTGGGACACTTGTAAGTAAACCTTTTCTTGGAATCTCCCTGGGAGGGAGTCTGGGTGAAGAGAATTTAGCTACGAAGGCTGAGGCCTTTCAACTCCCCCATTGGTGGGAAAGAAAGCAGGACCCAGGGCCTGCACGGAAGTTTGGGTCTCAGGCCACTGGGAGCCATGGCCTCCCTGGGCCACTTGCTTGTCCCCACAGGTGCAGGAGAAACTGCTGGGGGGGATTGCAGCTGAGTGCCCAGGGAAAACGGAGTCACTGGGGCCGTGTCCTCATGAGATGTCCTCACCCATCTGGAGCCCAGCACTGGGACCAGGGCTGGGATGAGCAGCCCGGCCACCACTGCCACCAGCCCAGGGCTGGGCCTAGGTGCCCTCCCGGAAGCTGTGGATCTGTGTGGAGTACCGCTGCAGGTGGCCCTGCGGCTGGGCCTCGGGGGCGCCCAGCGTGCCCCCCGCCTGCTGCTGCTGCTGGTAGTGCTGGTAGAGCTTGGGGCCCGGCCCCTCCAGGCCCGGCAGGCGGCTGCTGGACATGGTCAGGATGGTGGCTGTCAGCGACTTGATGTAGTTCTTGGCCAGCGTGAGCGTCTCGATCTTGGAGAGCTTCTTGTCGGCGCGCACGTGCGGGATGACCTCGCGCAGCGCCTGGAAGGCGTTGTTGAGCTTGTGCATGCGCTGCCGCTCGCGCTCGTTGCTCTCCAGCCGCCGCTGCGCGCTGCTGTCCCGCCGGCCGCCGGGCCCGGACCCCGGCCGCCTGCGACCGCCCTCGGCCCGCGCCCCCGCCGCCCCGGCCCGGACCGGCCGGCACCCACCGCCCCTGCCGCCCGCCGCTCCTCCTGGGCGCACAAAATGGCCGCCAAGGCCCAGAGAAGCATCTGGAACAGCGGCCAGGGAGAGGCGAGAAAATGGCTGCCGGAGCGATGATGTCATGGGCTGGCGTGGCCTCCCGGGCGTCCCGGGTGGGGACGGGCCAGGCTGGTAGTGCTGGTAGAGCTTGGGGCCCGGCCCTCCAGGCCCGGCAGGCGGCTGCTGGACATGGTCAGGATGGTGGCTGTCAGCGACTTGATGTAGTTCTTGGCCAGCGTGAGCGTCTCGATCTTGGAGAGCTTCTTGTCGGCGCGCGCACGTGCGGGATGACCTCGCGCAGCGCCTGGAAGGCGTTGTTGAGCTTGTGCATGCGCTGCCGCTCGCGCTCGTTGCTCTCCAGCCGCCGCTGCGCGCTGCTGTCCCGCCGGCCGCCGGGCCCGGACCCCGGCCGCCTGCGACCGCCCTCGGCCCGC